AATATTAATAATAGTAAAAGTGTTATAAGTTGTCACATTATACACGCGGTTTCACACGCTTTGCTCCGCTCCTATTGGTCGTATCGTGATGTTTTATAGCATAGGCATCATCTATAAATGCGCTATCCAACACAAAAAGAATAATTCAAATCAGATTTGTAGTTACGGAGATTAGGGCTTTCAAACAAACAAACAAAAAAATACAAGATGTATGATGTAGTATAAGAAGTACAAGATGATAGAAATCTCATGTAATAGGTGAGCCCATACATTGTCATACATACACCTATTGTTATACACCGGACACAATAGGGTAGTTGCCAGGTTATGAAAATTAAAAATGTAATTAGTCCGTCAGTTAGATAATGAAGACACGTATTTTTTTCTTTTCTCGAATAAAGTTACAATCCTTAGATGAAATGGAGTTAAGTTTAGGAATGACGGATCGTTACGATACGATATTTCAAATCAAAATATTGTCGAAAGTATCTAATTTTTTAAGTAGACAAAAGATACGTGTCTAATGTTTTAAAGTAATCTACCAGATTACTATTTTATTTTTTAAGGGGGAAAAATCATCGAATTGCTTCTCCTGCCTGAGTGAAGCGGGAGAGAGTGTCAGACTCTTACTGACTAAAAACTACCCCGTTTCTATTCCTGCACTTCGAGGCATAGGCCCGGCCACCCTTAAGTACTCCGCGGTCAATCTACCAGATGGACATTAGAATAAAGTTAGGAATTATCTTATTATGTTGTAGGTATGTGCAATTACCTGTTAGTGTTGGATACAATTTCTATAATTAGCTATAAATAAAAGTTTGTTGTAGCCTGTATGCGATACTGAATTCGATAACATGTTTACACTTATTAGAGACAAGAACTTATTGATAAAATAATTATAAGTGTTACTTATTGTACCGTAAGTCATCATATTATCTACTTATAATAGCACAACATAACATCACGCCTTTTTATCCCCGAAGGGGTAGGCAGAGGTGCAAATTTCGGCAAATAATGCCACTGCAATTTAAAACGCATTTTTTACTATTTATGTTATGAGTCCCATGTAATAGGTGGTGAGCTTATTGCTATATACCGGGCACAATTCCAGATTCCGTGCTACTACTGACATTTTTTTAAATATCCAGTATTACTTTGCCCAACCTGGGAATCGAACCCGAGATCCCGAGCCCTGCAGTCGCACTTGCGACCACTCGGTCAACGAAGCTGTCTTATAATAGGTACCTCAGAAATAACAAATGTAATTAATTTACAAGAGACGTAGGCAAAACTATGTCAACATAACATATTTTGTATTGCAGTGCCATACAAAATACTGCATATAGGTATAGGTAAATCTTTATTAACCACATATATTTTTATTCTCAATTGTGGAGAATCCAACCTTATACAACAAAGATAGACTTGCAATATTTTTTTTTTAAAGAACCTTGCCACGCACTAGGATTTTCTGCTGTGTCGTGGGTGCGTTCACAAACATACAGACCCGAAAAAACAATCTGTGGATCACACAAAGAATTGTTCTGTGCGTGAATCGAACCCGCTACATGTTGCGCGGCAGCCACCGCGCCAACCATGCAGTCACGTATTACACATTGTATTATAGTACATTACACCAGGGACACATTTATATTAACTCAACAACATGAACAACAGTGTTGCATTTACAATACATTCCTTAGAGATAAAACCTAGCGAGTACATTAGTAAGCTTCAATTGTTCAGATCAGTTTTGGCAGCTGTTCCGTATTCTGCATACCAAAGTCACGGTCTAATATAAATGCTTTGGCGAAATATTCAGCACATACTACATAGTTCTAAATTTCTACATCGATGATTGCATTGTCTGTTAAGGTGATTAAGTCATTTGCCAACCAACGGCCAACATTTGTTACCAACCTTATCCTTTTCGTGAGTAATGTAAGATTTGACCAAGAACAATATTTCACTGGGACACCATGACGACAAAACCAGTCAGAGCTATCAATAATATGTATACCAACACAATGTACGCAGAAGATCGGTTGCAGAACCAAGCGAACATCCTGGTGGCGCGGCCAAATCGAACGCCATACTACTACTCTATAGAGCTGCATACATTTTGTTGGTTACGGCGATTGGTTGCGCCGCCATGGTATCACGCTAAAATGTAGCGTTTCACTTAACATAACATCACGCCTTTTATCCCCGAAGGGGTAGGCAGAGGTGCACATTATGGCACTTAATGCTACTGTACAATGTAACACCCACTTTTCACTATTTATGTCATGAGTCCCATGTAATAAGGCGTGAGCCTATTGCCATATACCGGGCCCAATTCCAGACTCCATGCTACTACTGAGAATTTTTTAAAAACCCAGTAATACTTTGCTCGACCCGGGAATCGAACCTGAGACCCCTTGCCCGGCAGTCGCACTTGCGAGCACTCGACCAACGAGGCAGTCAGTATAGCGTTTCACATTGCAATTAAATAGACACCAGCCTGTATCCGTTTTCGATTAAACTGAACTTTTGAAACTGCCATCTTTATCTACCTGCCTAACGTGGAAGGTGTGGTAATCCCTCTTATATTACGGAGGCTCACAGTCAATTAGTAGACTGTCTTAGTCTCTTGATGATTATTGGTTTGCTATCTGTCCTGGATTAGTTGTTGTTAACACGGATCTTTTTTTATTTTAATTTTTTTATAAACGTTGCGCCGCACCTAGGGTTTTCTCCTGTATCGTGGGTGCGTTTACAAACATACAAGTTCACATACACATGAGACCCAAACCCAGTACAACAATTTGTAGATCACACAAAGAGTTTTTTCATGCGGGAATCGAACCCGCGACACGTTGCGTGGCAGCCGGTTGCCCAGCCACCGCACTAACCGTGTTGTCATAATTTGAACATATTGTGTACGGTAGTTAGTACCTATTAAGGTATTCAAAAGCATCTAGCTCCTCTTTCGATTTGACCGAGGAATATTATGAGTTATTAGTATTTACGAGAGTACATTGTAGGCATCAAAACCAATAGATCATTTGAATAGTTATTTTCAGAATGCTGTACCAATCAAACCTAATACTGAATTTTTAATTTAAATTAATTCAATTTTATAACTTTCACAAAATATTATGAAGCATACACAATTTAAAGATAAAGATATTAATAAAACAAAAATATCACGTGATATAAACTTGTTATCATTTCAAGTAATACAATGTAACCATCATAAATATTTGTCGTTGACCGAACTGACCTATGTCAAAGTCAAGTTCCAGTCACGTTGAACTAATTTTTAGGTACAAAGCTTATCTTGAACACAGACATAATAATATTTATTATTGAACATAATACATAATGAGATAACAAACTTTCATTTCTCATTAAAGAGATACCTAAACTAAAGCGTGTTGTATAAACACTAGGTTGTTCCCTTTTAATCCCGAAGGGGTAGGGGTAGATCACAAAATAGATCATTTAGTATTCATCAGATATGTTTTGAGTACCATGTAATAGGGGGTGATTGTATTGTCCTACTTGAATATAGTTCAAGACTTCGTGTAATTAAATTAGTATATTTTTAAGGGGGGAATATCATCGAATGACTCTCCCGCCTGGATGAAATAAAATTAGTATTAAATATATAGGGATTTTTTTCATAAAACCGACATAATTTAACAATCATTACAATATTTTGGTCGGCCTGGAAATCGAATCCGAGACGTCTCACTCTGCAGTCGCATTTGTGACCATTTGATCTGTTTCATTTTCTGCATTTTGTTTTTATAGAAAGTAAAATTGTACTGCCTATTTATTAGGCCTGACTATACTAGTCGCAAGCTCATTACAACACTCACTTGTTTTTTTTCTTTTGTATTGCTTTTTATCTTTCCGGGCAAAAGTTTTACCACTCATCATACTGAAATGTATGGGAAATAAACATATACATATATTAACACAAATAGTGAAAATTGTACAGTGGTATTAAGTGCCGAAATCTGCACCTCTGCCTACCCCTTCGGGGATAAAAAGGCGTTATGTTATATATGAATTATTGATGTATTGCACGGTCAGTGGAGTACTTCAACTTGTGTGTCACGAGTTCGATTTTTGTACAGAAAAAATTTTTGTGATCCAGAAAATCTAGTTCAAGGTCTGAGTGTGATGTGTATGTACCTAATTGTGTATAAAAATCCCTCCACAAAATGGAAGATAATCCTAGTGTTTTAATTAAAAAGCTGTAGAGCACTTTAGTTGATCCCGCTAATCTCTCGAACCTAACTTTTCCTGTAACCCATAGAGGTTTTAAAAGCAGACAAATTCAAGTTATTTACTTAGTTTTATTCGTAGTCACGTTTTGTGAAAGTGTTCATGGCCCAAGACAAATATGTAAGGTCAGACCGAGTTCAATGGAACTGATAATAAAAATGTTAATCTCTTTATATCCAAGTTGGTACTTATTACATATTGTTGATTATTTTTAATATAGAGTCATAATAAATTGATAAATTCGAATTGTCGCCTCATTTTTCAAAATCTCTATTTA